GTAGATTCAAAGGAATAAACATCTTCCGCAGCTAGTAAATCTTAAAGCCTTTATCAACATGTGGGAAATGAGTGTTGCCTCAGACACACTTACCCTAGGATGGGATTATTGCTTAAAGATGATAATATTGTGGAATAATCCTTTTATAAGTATTCTTTTATAAAAAGCCATTTTTAGAAAAAAAAAAAGCTGCAGGTATAAACCTTTATTTCAGCTGTAGAAACTGATACTTTAAGCTTTAAAGTCTGTAATTCCACATGATATCAAAATTGATTCATGCCTGTGGTTTGAAAGAATTTTATTACAAAGACATTAATTTAAATTTTTTCTTATTATTTAGAAGTAAAGAATGCAGCTAGATCAAGTTACCCAAAATGTTCATATCAATTCAAGAATGCAACTACTAATGCATTGGTTGGTGCCAAGTCCACTGAAGGAATCTCGGAACCTGTTCCACTTGTTAATAACCGTAAAGGGAGCCTCTTTCTACCCAACAACCCCTCGCTGCTGCACCTTAACTTATTGAGTTCTGTTGAACAAGGAAAATCTACGTACTGTAGATTGCAAAGGGCACTCAGCTTGCCTGTAAAATACCGCTACCACTCCCAAAAGCCTGGGTTGAACCAAGACCTCCGTAGGTAGCCTCGTAGTTGGATGCATAAGGCACTACAGATTGGCTTGTGCATGGTTTTGCAGTCTGTTTTCGATGTGGCTATGACATTACTAATGCTCTGTAAGTGCTTACAGATGTGGGTTTCTCCAGATGTGGTGATTAATAAGTTAATCAAGATAGCTAGTCAATTAATGTTTCTGGGTGGTTTGTGCTTTACCTTTCATATGGTTTATTTGCTCTGAAGCATTTACGTGCTAGGCAGAATGAGTTTACCAGGTATTCCAATTCATGTAATGTTCAGTAACATAGACATTATTTCAAATTCCAGCTCTTCTTGGGGTCTAAAAAACCGTGTCTGTAAACTGTTCTGGTTGTGACCTGGCAGAGGCAGGGAAGGAGACAGATTTATTTAAAAAATGGTAACAAAATAACAAAGAAAAAAGTTATGAACTTGTCCACTGTTTCTGAAAGACATTCCCTTTATTCTGCTTAAAAAATGAAATGAGGATAGAAGTCAAGTAATATGTTGTTACAGATGTTCAGGCTTCCCATTAAGGCTGTTAAAATTACCAGCACATCTTAAATCAGTTCATGAAATGTTGTCTGGAGGTTATGTCATTGAAATAATGAATCCTCTTTACTCAAGAATAAGCAAACATGATAAAACATCAGTGTAACTTTAGATTAAACTCCCGCATAAGCTGGAGCATCTGAAGCCCTGTTAGACTTGCCTGACATTTTTCTAGCACTGAGTCTTTGTGGACTGCAAAACTGTTAGATTCTGTGCCTATGAGACAAGTGAGCACCAGGTTGTTACAACACTACGTTAAATGTTATACTTAGGGATGTGCAAACAAGCTCTTGAATTTTATTAGAATTCAGAGGCTGGATGGAGTTCCGATTCTATAAAATCCTGTGTCCAATTCTTGAACTTGTTTGCCTTTTTCATGAAAGCTGGTAAAGAAAGTCTGCATAATATAAGAAGACTCTATTTTAATACAAATCCTGTAATCCTGTAGCATAAAGACATCAAAAATACTAAAAATGGGGGCACATACTTATTAACAAAAGCACTAGGTCAAACATGGAACATCAGAATTGAGCTGTCGTGTATCACAGCCTATTATTCAAATATGGTTGTCTTTCATAAGAGCGAGCAAATTTAAGAGTGCCTTTTAAATTAATGCAGACACAGGAACCATGAAACTGAAATGATATTTTATGGCTTTACTAAAACTTTTGCTAGATCTATTCCTTTAAACATGCAGGAAACTGATAAGTGTCTAAAGGATAATAATTAAATATGTTTTATATCTTAGTAATAAGAAGCCACTTGTGAGTTTGATTTAATTTCAACACTTTGGGAACCAAGCCATATGGTGTCTGTTATATACCATGCAAATATTTCGGCTGCATGGAGTCCCTTTCCCCATGCTTATGGAGCTGCGTTTCCAAATGGCAGATGCCCTGTAAACTCTGCACACAGATTTCTGTGAAAAACAAAGTGTTGTTTGGATGCGATATGATTAAGATAGATCACTTTTCATCGCTGCAATGAGAATAAATGGCTTCCTTGCTTAGGCAAGGCATTGCTTTAGCAACAAATTGAGATCCCTCAGAAGGCTTTGCCAATAGGTATTAGCTAGTGAGCCACATTCACCTTGGACTTTCCAGGCAATTAGTGACAGTTAACAGAGTCTGAATATGACAAGCACATATCAAATGTGGGTGCTTATTTATTGTAGACACAGTACCAAAAATAACTGTAGACTGCTAGAAATCTAGTTCTAGAAATGACTGTTCTAGAAATGGTTATGCTGGATAGCTGCTAGTAAGACTTTGTTTTTTAATCGGGCGGTGGGTTAACGTCACCTGGCAGCACTGGAGAACTCAAATGTTGGACCATATAGCACGAAAGGTCCTTCTTGTACTGACTTTCAGTATTTGGAAGGATCAGACAGGAGTCTTATTAGCTAGATGAAAACTTGGAAAAGGGCTCTTTTTTAATAGTGTTTTCTGTTGTTCACAGAAATATTTCTGGCTATAATATGATCTACAGCTGGCTTGTGTTAATGTAAGATTTTGCACATGGTCCCGAAGGCTATGTATCTTCCTTAAACTGTTAAAATAGTATAATAATACACTTTACTTATGGTGTGATACTGAATCTCTTGATAAACATTCTGTAACCCTATGGTAGCAGACTAAGTTTAGCAAGATTTAGAATTTTTACTACCAAGAGAGCAAAACACATCAGTTATAGCTGGTTTCTGGAAGGAACATTTTGTGTGGTTCTTGTTCCTTTGATTTTTTAAGTGGTGGATTCATCAGATTGGAACTGAATATTTACATCCTACACAGAACAAGAGAGCACAGTGTATATCTTGAAAGCAAGCTATTGTCCGTGTGAAATAGCATGCAAATAACTTTGATAGACAAGTTTAAAACAAGACTAGGCCATTTCCAAAAGAGTGGTTTGCAGGAGGTGTTCCGAAGCACACAAATACTTGCACTTTGTTATAATTAGAAGTAGAAAGATACAGTAGTATATTTCTGTGCATAGTCAGTTCATATTACAAATCGCTAAATACTGAAGTGATCTTGTTTAATCCAAACAAACTCTCACAGAAAAAAAAAATTCAATTTGTATATTTTTGAAAATTTTCTGTGGGCTTATTTATCTCTCAGCCAAACAAAGAGTGGTACTTGACTAATCATCAATAAGCATTTCCACTACGGGACTCTGACATGGAAAAAAGGAAAAGTCAAATGATAAGGAAATGGCTTTGCCTTTGGGCATGCTGCCCAAGGAGAAAAGAAACTTAAGTTAGTGGAAGGAATCAGTATTAGATAGTCGTTGCTCTGATCTGAATATTACCTTTTACACCAGTCCTTGGGGTATTTATTTTGGGGTTAGCTTTTTCTGGGGAGGGGAGGGGTTTCTTTTGCAGTGCTTTCTTTTGTTTTGATTCCCTTGATTTGTGAGGTGATGCCAGGTCATTTAGAAAGACAGCACATCTGTCTTTTCAGGGCCCAGCCCTTCGGTCCTGACCAAGGCAAAATGAAATTCAGTAGCAGACTTGGGCAGACAGACATGACAGGCTAGAATGAAGTCTGTAATAAAACCAGCGTCAGAAGAGGGTTGTAGTAGAAGGGTATTGCTTAATTTTTTCCCTGATAAGTCTAGGGCAGGTGACAGATATCCAGGTTGTGTTCTTCCTACGTAGCTTGTTGCAAATAATTTTTTTTCCAGCCTCTGCTTGTGCACTGCTAATGTTTATTAAGCTCTTTTAATATAGCTGCTACTACTACTAATCTCTTTCCTTTTAGCTTTAAAGTAACAGCTTCCTAGGCATCAGTTATGTTATCTTTTAGTTCATTTTTCAGTTCACAAGAAGATGGAAAAAAGTGCATTTTTCCTTCTTTATATTAGAACAATTCAGCATTAGTGTGAATTTGAGAAAGCAGGCATAAGATAATTTCCTTTGATAGCACAGGTAAACCTTATGCACCGATTATCAAGTGCAGTAACTATCGTGAAACAGTAAAAGATGATGGTTAATTCTGATAGATGAGTTATTAGGAAGCTGCACTTGTTCAAGCAAGATGTATTGTGACATAGGTTATCCAAGAGTAGTGTATGATTGGCGAAACCATAAGTGATTTTACATCTGGAGATTGATCTGTCATCGAAAATGCACCTCATCCTCATTAAAAGATTGCATCACACACGCATCCTCTGTTACACAGGTATTGTCTCCCCGCTTCCATTCAACCTCATTCTGTTCACTCCTGTTAGAGCTCCCTTTTGTGAGAAGGGTAGAGCGCTGAGGTCTGACTGTGCTGGAGATCTGTGCACAATGCCAGGCTGCGTTCCCATTCCCGACGAACTGAATCATTGAACATCAAGGCATTGAATATTTTACATCTCTTCGTGAAGACTCTGTTGTTTGGCATGTGAGGAGCGAGAACCAACTGGTGTCTAGTTCATTAGCAAAAGCAGGCTGGCAGCTGTTATGTTGGTATTGCAAATAGTACTTCATCTTTCTGGGAATATAGCAGAGCACTAATTCTACTTTTCTGTAGTGCAGATTAACTAAAAATAACTCTCAGAATAACCCGAATGTGGTTCCCCCCCCCGCTTTGTTTTTGAAGTATGAAACCAATTTGAACGCCTGTGTTCAAAACCCTGGTACTCTTCCCTGCTCCTCCTGCAAACCAATCTCTTCAACTAACATGTATTTGATTTTTATTACTGTTGGGCCTATGTTAGCAATGAAATATCAGTGCGTGAATGGACATAGAGTGTGTGTTCTTTGCTACTTCACTTGTATTTCGTATTGCCCTTAGAGCAGTACTTAATCTCATGAGTTCCTTATATTTCCAGTTGAAGATGAGCAGCCGTCGACACTATCACCCAAAAAAAAGCAGCGAAACGGAGGCATGCGAAATTCACCCAACTCCTCACCCAAACTGATGAGGTAAGACTGTAGGAAACTCATATCTTCATCTCCTTTCTTCCTTCTTTCCTCTTCTCCTCCCCCCACATCAAAACTAAGGGGAGGAGGTGGAAAAAAAAGGTTGTTAGACGGTTTCTGAAAGCCTGAAGTATTTATTCTGTCAGCTTGTCAGCAGTTAATGATAGAGCTGAAAAAAAATCTGTCATGAAAAACAGTTTGAAAAGCTGTTTGAAAAATACATAGACTTTAAAGTCTTAGCTGTCACCCTGTCCTGTCCGTGTGTAGTTCTTAAACAGCAGTGGCACTAATGATAGCAGTAACCAATCAGGGGAACTCATGTGGTTAGTTTGCCTCGGGCAATTCTCTTTTTGCTGGATTCCCTCGGAGTACTGTTTTCTGTACTTAAGGCCATATGTGAGATGTATCATCACAATCAAAAATGAACCTGAATATTACCTTCCTTTTATCCTGTCGATTGAAATCAAATTTCTGTTAATTGATTTAGACTGATAAAAAAGTCTAATAATCTGTGTACTTGCCAAAGCAAAGTTCAAAACTAATGCAGTTTTACTCAGGCTAAAAGCACATTAATTATGAAATACAGGGATTTTGAAGATGGTAGTATATACTTGAAAAGTGGGTGATGAAAACATCATCTTATTAATGGTATTTTTCCCCTGTTGCTACGTATACATTATTTTACACCAATACGCCTTTGTATAACTATGTAGTTTCCATCCATAGGACAAATTACCTTTAAGAGATTTGGTAAAACTAGAACTGCAACACAACATTGTAACCTATTAAAATAATATGGCATTTGCTTTCTGTCTCACTGTGCTTCACCTTTTCCCTGCTCAAGTCAGTCAGAACAGGTTCTGAACAGGAATAGCCGACATGGAGTTTTCTACAAGGAAGCCATTCCT